GGCGAAGTCCCTCCCTTTCCGGGGGACCTCCATGGGACCTTATTTCGGAAAAATTATGTATTGAAGTCAAAAGTCTGTTTGAATTGTGCCACGAATATGATGTTTGTCAATTTAAAAGATAATTTTGCAAGTCAAAAAAATTGAAATGTGTCGTAAAACTGTGAAGTAAAACCGCTCAATGAACTACATCTCCCGTCTCGCACCACACACCAAGACGGCCTCTCGGTCACGTTGGCACATTTCACTTCTTTCTCTCAGAATGAGGCGGAAAGTATTAAAAGAGGTGAAAATCACTCCAAGTCTGGGCATGCTGAGAGCTGTACATACACACAAGGGGAGTTAGTTGGTTCCGTAAGAGCCAGCATGCGGGACCGGGATTCTGGGATTTGTAGTCTTTCTAGTTGCGTATTTTTCATAGTCTTATATTTCAACAGTTTTACGACAAGACTTTTTTGACATGGAAATTATTTTTGAAGATTGACAAACATCATATGTGTAATTCGTGGCACAATTCAAACGGGATCGAAAGATAGGGCGGGACTTCGCCTCTCTATACTGTATAACACACCACAGGAAAGGGAAAACCCCCAAAAGCATAATATGGCAACTTTAAAGTACTATTTACATCCTAGAAAGCATTCAAGTTGAGAATAAATGGACATTGTGGGTTTTGTGTATAGGGAAAGCTCTTTTAAAAGTCAAACTGATCTGTGCAAACATTTGATATACACAGGGCTGCTCCTGGCCAACTAGCCCCACGCAAAGTTATATGATGAGGCCGCGAGCGTCGACGGGGGGTGGGGGGGGTGCTAGTGGAGCTCAGTTGAGGCTCCCTCCGCAAGATGAGGCCCCACGCAGTCTGCGTGATCTGCGTGTACGGAGGGGCGACCCTGGATATACATCTTTTTTTTTCAGGGACGGTAGGGCTATCATTATAACTTACAGCAATGTCGAATTATACTTATATGATTATAAAAACAAAAGAAAACCCAAAATGGAACTTGAATCCTACACATGTTTATTAGATAACATATAGCACAAGACTTTTGCATTTTACAATGTATTCTTCTAGGACTTTGCTATCAGGGGAGAAAAATGCAATGTGTGGCAAACCCACATCAAACACTTTTAGATATCTTTCATTCAAGTCTTTATTCATTTATTCTAAAAAGTTAGTAGTTCCATTGCTGACCTGACCTGACCACTGCTATTTAACTGCTATTTAAATTCATCAGGTTTTAGATTGACTTCCTCAAAATCCAAGAGTCAGGACTTCTTCTTTCTGTAGCTGCCATCCATCAAAAAACTGTTCATAAATCATGGAGGCGGAGGAGGCAAACAGACGGACTCTCACACCAACGCCGCCTCAGAAGACCAGAATTCATTGCAACTTAATAAGAATGACATCTTGTTGCTACAGCTTTGAAGCCTTCGTGTGTTTATCTCCTTTGAACAGCCACATCCAGAGTAGCTTATGAATTTAAAACCGACCATCCAGTACATTATGTATAGAAGGAAGTTTTCACTTTCAGTGGAGTTTCACGAGTATGGATGTGACTGATAATTTTGATTTTTATTACCTGGGACTGCCAACATCAGTGGATTTAGTGGAGCGTTTGCCCTTGGGGTTTGCTCACTGTCATAATGGTTTATGATGACACAAATGTCCAATATCTTTCTTTTAATTGCAACATAGAGTCTGACGCGAGCAGATAGTATCGGAAAGTACGTCAAGATATCATCTAAAATACCTCCTAGGGAGCGCTGGATTAAAGATGTTAGAGTGTAGGGGTATGCAAAGGGGATTTTTCTTTGAGTGATCTTTAAAAGTGGGTTTACCCTCCAATACCTCTCGACAAGTTTTACCAGCATCACAACAAAGGATTATTTATTCTCCCCCACCTAGAAAACCCACGGGGAAATGGTGTTCCTTTTGATGCATATATTATCAACAGTTACTCAGGTTGAAAACAAATCCCAGTGAAAAAGCTAACTTTGATGAAATGACGCAGGAATGAAGGCCGGGTTGTCAAAACTGTTTCCACAAGAGACTCATAGTTCAATATTGAGATGCCATACATTTCATCCAAGAATTTAATTTTCTGCATGAATCGCAGAGTGAGAAAGTAATCATACGGGCGCGTGTCATCATTTAGACAAGTTGTCATCCCAGAATTACAATTTCAATATGGCAGCACGCATCTGTCATCCCCAGATTAGACTTTCCATCACTGCGGTTCCTCTCCAGCAGGTGAGGAGCATTGTATAGCTGCAAATATCAATTGTAAAGCCATGGCAGCTATTTGTAATAAACAATATGCCCGTTAATGTATGGAATATAAAAGTAAATGCTCAACAAAATATGTTTACACATTCAAATGACACAGAGAAGAAGATTTATTCAGTCTGAAAACAGGAGCATGCACTCATCAGAATCCATAATAGCAGGGAACAAGATGGATTTTTCTTTCTTTCCTCCCTTTGCTGTGAACTAATTCCAATCTCTATTTAAGTTTAAATTGCATGTTTCATTCGTATAACTGACTGGTTCCTCAAACTATTATTAGTCACCAGCTCAGACAATTGAAATGATTGCCATTTATCGCACACTCGCACACAGACTAGGAAAGATCAACGATCTCATCAGAATAAGTACATGTGTGCACTGATGCATGTGTGCATGTGCAAATGCATTGTTAAGCCGAATAATAACAACTACCCTGAGGTGGCAGTAGCCCAATTCATATGGAGATGGCTTGAAAACCAGGAGGGTCACTGGTTCATATTCCCAAACGGAACAAATATGGAGAAATCTTTCCATTATTCCATATGTGGATGTAATGTTTATTCCACCACACTGGAACAAATGCTGCTCCAAAAACAAGTTAAACAATAATGAAAAGAAGCTGTTTTCACTTCAAATAAGTACAAAAATCTGCCAAAAGAACAAGTGAATATTAGCTTGGTAAGATTTCTTGAAATAAGAAGGGATATTTAGATAAATCAGATCTTGTAATTAGCTGGGAGAACTCATTTTGAACTATATTTGTCCAGAATCAGGAGATGTTGTGTTACAAAATAAGCCTCAAATGCTCAAAGGTGTTCTGTTTTATGATGTTAGTTGATGATTGTCTAATAAATATGTAAACAAATATGTGTTTCATCTGAGATACAACTCAAAATAAGATTATTTGACTTGAAGGTGGGGTATGTAATTTTGGAGAAACCAGCTCGAGTGTGCTAGAATTTGAAAACACACAACCGGAAAAAATCTGCCCCTTCCTTCAGACTTCCTTACAGAGCCCCTCCTCCAACACACACGAACGCGCACATGACCAATGAGGGCACGAGATAAGTTTGTGCACAGATTGAAGGCTGACAGGCAGGTAGGCCATCCAGTTATTTTAGCCGGGCCGGCTCAAATGATTGGTCGTGCTTTTTACAGCGCCACGGCTTCCACAGATGACATTTTTTTATGTATTTCTTGTCAAAGCATTTAATGTATTCATTGCTATCGGGATGTTAAGAGCATTCCATGGAATATAACAAAAAGTGTTTCTGAAATAAATTACATACCCCACCTTTAACAAGATGATGCATTGTCTAAAAACAAGACCCGATATCTCACTGCAGTGTCACTTCTGAAGTTATTGTGTCGTATATCAGGTGTAGAGACATATTCTGACTAGATATTAGACAAAGTTACTTGGCAAGATCTCAAGTTTTTGTAGTGTAGGAATGCGTATTTCTTCAAAAGAAAGGAGATGTCATCTTCAGTGGTAGTCAACTGTGCATTGTGTTTTTTTCTTTATCATTGTGAGTAAAAAGAAAACCAGGACATGCATGAGTTAAAACAACTCGTTGATAAATATTATAACTCTGCTTTAGCCGGGGTTTAGCGGCTCCCTTTTTCAACATCAAATGCTTGGTGATTAGTTACCAAACATTCCCCATTTCTTCACGTGACACGGTCAGAGGGTAAGCCCATGAGGAATGTCATGCTGTGGGGAAACATTAAAGCCCCAAAAAACTGTCTTTTGCTCCACAATCTTGTTCATGCATTTCTTTACTAATAAAAAAGTTGCAATAAATGATAAATGTATGTACTTGTATGACTAAGGCCTTGCAGGGCACTAAGACTTTATTAAAGCGTTCCATTGTTGTTGTTTTTTAGATACTCTCATTATTTTTGAAATATTAACTCATTGTTTTTGATAAACCAACTCATTATTTTCAGGTCTTTAATTATTTTGGTATACACCCCTCATTATTTTTGATAAAGTTTTTCATTAATTGGACAAAATAATTTACATAATCTGACTAATTTTTTTATATTAACTGTTTATTTTGATATGTAACTAATTATTTTTGAGATACTAATCATTATTTTTAGATACTGACTCATACATTTGAGAAACTAACTCATTATTTTGAGGCGTTAGTCATCCTTTTTGACAACTGTTGTCATTATTTGGATACCAACTCATCAGTTTCAGATACTAACCCATTATTTATAAAGTTCACATTTTTTCAAGACACTTGGTCATTATTCTGAGATACTTACTCATTATTGTAAAGACTCATTACTCTGAGACTCAAAGTCAATCTTTTGAGAAAGTTTCTTATACTTTTGAGATAGGCTGTAATTCATTATTCCAAGAGTCCTTCCAAGTCATTATGAGAACGTGTTTCATTATAATGACACGTGTGTATTTGTTCATCGAATTGGCATAATTGAGCATCCACGCAATTAAATGTTAGTCATGTTATTTTAATGTGTGAAGAAATACACTTAATCTTAAAACCCCACCGTGGGCTGTCCTTCCTGTGGAACTGTTTGCGGAACATAAAGCTGTTTGCTCGGCTGTCAGAAGCTTTATACCCGGCCGTTGGTAAGAAACGCCCCCTGTGTTCCAACCAATCACAGGGCCGAAACGGATTGGCTCTTCTGGGCTGTCAGTCACGCATATCCTCCGTTGCTTCCTGTGTGAGATCGTGGATTCAGTTTGTCTGCAGCGAGTCTCCGGTATGGGCAGCTGCCTCACTCCTCAACTTTTTTACCAGGGATTTAACCACAGTTGTGCTCCATTTGTCACGGTTGTATACCACCTATACATGGATTTGTGAACGGAATAACCCGAAAGTGCGCTTATCCGAGCGTTTGAATTCATTTTTTGTTGTTAAAAAAAGGAAGAGGAGAAAATGCCAGTTGCAACTCTTCTGCCTTTTACCGCGACCCCGAATAGGAAGTCTGCCAGCCCGACCTCTTTCAGGTTGACAGAGAAATTCATCTTGTTATTAGTGTTTAGTGCTTTTATTACCCTGTGTTTCGGGGCTATTTTCTTCCTGCCGGACTCGTCGAAGCTGCTCAGTGGAGTTTTCTTTCATTCCTCCGCGGTGGAGACCAACACCCGCACCGGTCCGGACAGCAGCGACCCGGGATCGGCTGGAAACGACGAGAGGGTCCTGGCCAAAATCAAGAACGACCATGAAAAAGCTCTGCTAGAGGCCAAGGATACTCTACAGAAACGACCGGACGAGATTAAGAAGGACATTTTGAATGACAAAAAGAAACTTCTTTCTGAGGCTAAGGGTCACGGTGGTAATGATGTCAATAATTTACCTTTTGTTGTGTATCACCGACCCCCTGGAGCTACTGGACACGAACCTCTGGACCCAGAAACCAAGGAGAGACGCGCTAAGATCAAAGAGGTAAGAATCTGTTGAACGCACGCGCTGTTTGGACGTAACGCCAAACTCCGGCAAAACAACTGACATTTATATATTTCCATAGAGTACTACAGGTTGTGTTCATTATAAAACATGATTTAACAGTCAACATGAAAGGTTAACACCTCCTCTATAATTCGGCGTAAATATAATACACAAATGAGCCCTAAATTGCCCGAAATTGTAACTTTTACATCATGTGATTTTAATGTTTCCTTAGCTTATGACAGTTGGTTTTAATGCTTAAACACGACTCAACAGTTAACATGCATGTGTCACACCCCCTCTTTAATACGGCGCATATATAATACACAAATGAGCCCTAAATTATACGAAAATTGAACTTTTACATAATGTTCGCGTGTTATCTCGAAAGTCCTCTCCGCCGATATTCCTCGGAGAGCGGTGCTTACGATAGTGCACCAAGTATACAACTTGCTTTTTTATTGCAACAAAGTAAACCATAGTGTATCACTTGTAGCCGAATTGCTCAGAAATGTAGTCTTGTTGAGTTAAATACCGTACACTATGTTTCGACATCAACGCACACCTCAAGGTGAATATGACACGTTGATTTTACGTTTTTTTCAACGGGATTTGGCGTGGCAGAGGTTTTTCTTTCCACGAAATTTCCCAGCAGTCAGTTTCTGGGGAAATCCAAGGAATGCACGCAGGAGCCACTGCCCCCCTCCGGGCTTATATACCTGCCTTTCAGGTTTCCAGTGTCAGGGGAATATATGATAAACCAGATTAGTTGTCACCACAGTGGTAACCCCTTGTTATCATCGTTGTGGAAGATTGAACACACCTTTAGCCTGTCACACACCATAACATATGACCTAGATTTAGAGTGTGCGCCACAGTTCATTCCCCTGAGGATTGGGAATTTTAAGATGAACCTGCTCCGTTTGAAAGCTTGATTTATTTATAGGATTATTACCAATTGTCACTAATTTGAAATCATAATTGAGTCCGTTTATTTACTGAGATAATGTCAAAGACCCCCTTGTATTTTACTTTTATTCAATAGCTTTTGTGCCCTCTGATCTTTTTCAATATTGTAAAGCCTGCAGCAGGTTGAAAAACACCAACAGGTAGCATGTCTGGCATTATTGTGTTCACTGCCCAGTGTGTGTGTGTGTGTGTGTGTGTGTGTAGTGGGAAACAAGAAAAAAGCCCAGAGGTCTCAGGTGGTTTCGGGTGGCTGCTGGTGGTGTTCAGTCACACTCCTGCTGCATTATCTGTGCTGTTCTTATTATCTCAGTTCCTGATGTGCTCAATAGGAATTTAAATGTAGAATGAGATATGTAAAATATCTTCAGTGATGTATTGAAAAGGAGTTTTACTGATGGGGTTTTTGGTGAGCAGTTATCGTAGATCTGTTCACTGAGGTGTCTTGATTTCCATTTACTCATTCGGGTGGTTAACTGGTAGTCTCATGCATAGGACCAATGAGTCAGTGAGCAGATTTAAAATAAATATGTAATTACCATTCTTTTGAGTGATATTGCAATTGGGTAAGAGTCATGATAATGGAGGGAATGATCATTACTGCAACCGAAAAAATATTAAAAGAATTATTTTTTTTCCTAAGTCTCTACCATTTGTAGACCGGCTGAACTGTAATTCAGAATGGTATTTTTGCACATATTTCGTATTTAACAAGTATGTGATTTTGGTTTTGCATGTGTCCATTTTGCGATTTTTACAACATTCATATAATTTTTCAGCCCTATTGTCCTGACTGAGCACATGTGTCGGGTGTAAAGACATTCAGATGGACTGATATTAGCCTTTCATTGAAGATCCTTTGAAATTGAGATAACTGAAAGTCATTTCAGCCCAGAGCGGACTTGAAAGAGGTCGGGAAATGAATTCTTGGAACAATCTCTGTACTGTCTGCAAGGCTATTTTCAGTTCTGACAAAATGAAATAGGATAATGATGTATTTGACTGAAAACCCGAGTATCAATAAAGCAATCATATTCGAGTAGCACTTTTTTGAAAAGATTATGAAAAGCAATAATTGGTTCAGGCATTAAAATCGAATTTATCCAGAAAATCCTATCCGTTATGACCCTTTCAAGACCCCTGAGACTGAACTTTATGGCAATATTATGTTAAACCATACCATGTGTAATCAATATATCACTGAGGTGTCGTTGTAAACACTGCCCTGAATGCTAAAAAAAGATATTTGCGTGTATTTGGTATTAAAAAGGCAATGTTTGAGATGCTGATGGGATACGTTTCTCAGCTTAAGATGGCATCTCTTGATACTGAAAGGTCATGCTGTCAACCACAAGAAGCAGGTTTTAAACCCATCATGTCAACGGGAGGCCATACTGTGTACAAATCACAGTTGTTTTGCCTATAGAGTACATCCTCCTGCCATCTGATTATACCACAGAACTAATGTATGTGTCATCTTATCGACGTAGTATAAACACACTATCCCATAATTGAGGACTTCAGTTGAATACGGTATCAAATTTAAAAAAACACAAGTATTCATTTCAAAAGACTTAGGCTACTTCCATGTCTTCTTAGTCCACCTTAAACGCTTGTGTTTAAGGTGGAATAAAATGGCATTATCTCAGTTTTTAGTCTTAAATTCTAATAGCGATACATTCCCTTAACTTAAAGCCCCCATTGTGAATGTATCACACCCGACAGAACCTCTTTATCCCATATCTCCTCCCTCCCAGCTGGGTGTGGATGTTTGGATATTTAACTGTGAACTGGATGGCTTTTAAACAACAACAGTGGGCCCGGAGGAAAATCAACACCACATTGGTCACATTGAAAAAGCTGCTGTCTTGACGATTGTTTGTTTGCTAACAGCAGCAATCAATGTTTATTAAGTGCAGTGTGTTGTGTTGCTATGGGCTATTTTTTGGGAACATTTCCAAATATTACGTTCATATAAATATTAACAAAAAATAACACTGGGTGCTGCTTCTTTTTTTCTTTTTTTATGTTAGCCCAAGCAGCAACACTGACATTCAAATTTAGGTCAAAACTTGTTTTTCTACAGTTTCTTTTTTAAACATTTTGCCTTCATCAGCTGATGATCTGCAGTTGGATTCAGCTGGAAAGCATATTTAAACAAACAAAAAGCTTATACTTGTGATCACATGCTGATACCAGGGATGCTCCGATCAGGGTTTTTGGGGCCGATCACCGGAATCATAATCGGCCGATACCGATCGCCAATCTGATCATAGGGTGGGTGGGGGCTATGGGGATCTTCCATTTAAAGTGTTGTTTTGTGAATTGAGTAGCGGAGTTTCCGTTAGCCGGTAATTACTGGACTATGACCGGTAATATATGCTGATGTTTAAAACTCAGTTAATGGGGCTCTTTTTTATATTGCTTCAGTTTATAATCGTAACCAATCGAAAAGTTCAAATTAATCTTTCATTAAATGATGCGCTTCAACAAACAACATCATTATTAGATTCAAATTAAGTACATTATTCAAGTTTACATTAACTTTGGATAATAACACGGGAGAAATAAACGGAGCCTCTCTCCCTCTCTCCTGACAGCCTGTCAGTATCGTCTCATGCAGCTCACTGATCCAGTAATGAGTGACCCGACAGTGAAGAATAAATATATGTATAACTAGTTTAGCTTGTTCCAGAGGTAGATCAAATAGCTAAGTGTGTTAGGTCTAACTCTTAGTGTGTGTTTTGCTCCGCTCTGCGGTCCGTCACAGCGGGTGGAGCTGCAGGATTTCTGCTTCACACACGTTGCATACCGCTATTTTACTGTCTTTTTCGGACACCTTAAAAAACTGCCAGACTGGTGAAGCCATCTTGGCGATCTTGTTTTGCCGCGCACAGAGAAACGTCTATAAATGTATTATACGTCATCTGATCGGCTCTCCTGATCGGCCTTTATAGAGAGCACCGATCGAACTATTAAGAGTGAATATCGGCCGATCGATCGGAGCTTCCCTAGCTGATACCTTTGCAAAACTGTCACCAGAATTTGGAAACCAAACTGGTTCAGCTGTGTTGAATTTTTTATTGAGGAAACAGGTCACTGAAAGGTTAGTTAAAGTGCTATCCTAAGCAAATGTGCTTTCCTGTGGCACTTCATCTTTATATTCTGTGCAGCAGGCTCTTAACAGTGTAATAGATATGATTACCCTCACTTATCACATTGATCATGGCAGCTAAAAGTATTCCTTTGTAAACAGCATCAAGCAAATCACCTCAAGATATTGACTACCATTTATATAAGACATATTTGTTGCCAATTATCCAGAGCTTTGACACTGTCTTTTCATCCGTTAACTCTTTTTAAGATGGTGAGGGTTACAGTTTGTCATGGATAGAAAAAACAAGATTGTCCAGCTGCTACTAGCTCAAAATAAACCAACAGTGTTGCAGAAATCGTCCATAACAGTGCGTTATTCTATGACTTTAAATGCAAACCAACCTGATGGAGCAACTAATGAACACATTTGAACGTTTGGAGAGACTGTAATTCTTTGAAGTGCAAGACGGAGATACAACAGAAGTGTGTTGTTTATCTACAGCGTGTATCAAACACAGGGTTTGTCAAACATGCTCAAGTTATGGGTTGGTCAGATGCAATTTGGCGACTTAAAGACTCAAAAACATAACGTAATGCTCGATAAACTGATCTCCAAAAAGCTTATTGACTAGGAAGATTTTTGAAAAGCAGATCTATATTTTAACAAATGGAGGTTATTTAAAATCTTTCACTAAAACCAAGGAAAATAGAAAACCCCATGACTTATTAATGTATGTTTAAGCATTGATATACAATGTAAGTCTAATGGATTCCTGTAGAGTTTCGATCAGTTCTCAAATGAATATCTTTAAAACACTCATCTAGCAGCAAAGCACATTTGATACGAGATGTTAAGAGTAAACGTTGTCCACTGTGTCAACACATCTCTTCCGTTAACTGTCAAGTTACATTTATTCCTCTGTGTATAATAAGGG